AGTACTCTTAAGCTTTATGTTCTCCTTTGTCAGAAGGAAAAACATCAGCCAGTTGTTACTTACATGAGTAAAAGTATCAGGGTCATCAGTCCCAAATAACAATGAAATATAACAAACTTATGTTCAGTGTATTAATTCACAAATAACTTCCCCAAATTTTATCAATATTTCCATGAAAAACAAGCTTCCACCATGTGAAACTGTAGAGTTATGCTTAGTCGAGAAAAGTTCACAACTGTTCAGTCCTAAACTTCTTCGGCTACCAAGCATAAGGTATAGACAAAACCCTTATTGAAAATATTGAATCTTATTGTTCTTTTTTCACGTCCCCAGAGTAACAAACATAAGATAGCAACTAAAAGAGACAACAGAAGTCAACCTTAGACAAGTACTGAGCTGGAACTGAAGGTGTGGTGGATTCCAAGAACCTGTCAAGGTTGCTATGTGAAAGCAAAGGTGGTTCTGAAGCCGGCACCGACGTTATACTTGAATTTTCCTTAGTATTGTTCCTATTATCAGTACCAAAAACCTTGATCTTTGATGATGGAGAGTTCCCTTTATCTTCGCTCTTATTAGTTTTGTTCGGCTGTTGTTCTTGTTTCTGTTGTTGTTGCCGTTGTCTGTGATTTTGGTTTCTTCTTGCTTTTACCGGAATATAAAACCGATCTTCTCCACGAACTTGGCCGAACTGCGACGCTGTCCCCAACATTCTCTCACAATCACTTAACTTCCGACTTCCCCGGTTTGGTTGCAGAGAAATCGGAAGAAAACGAAAGAAGATACGAGGAAACTCCAAAAGTTTCTCGTCCTCCGACTCTTTTAAATATACAAAAAAAAAAAAAAAAAAATTGGCAAATGGAGGAGGAGGAATAAAGAAAACCGGTGTAGCCAAATGTGGCTTTGATTTTAACAACAATCCAATCAGTGAAAAAATAAACGATTTGACGAAAACATAATATTTATTGTAACAAGAAGGTTTTTTATTCTTTGGCGTTCTTTCGCAGTTTCTCGGAAACCAAACAGGGAAGATAAACCTAATTCTGCTTCTGTAGAGAATTAAACTAAATGGAGGAAACAATATTAGCTAATTAGATCAGATAGAAATAAAACATGTCGTGTGAATTCACCGAAGGAAGAAGCTGTGATTTTTGAGAAGTAAAAAGAAAATGAGATTTGCGTCCAAGAGAGGAACGTGAAGAGTGAGGCAGAGTGTTTGTGTAAGGTGAAGACGAAGATAATATATATACACACACGCACATATATATAATTAATTAGATTCATTATTTAATCCACATTACTTACTAATTAATAATAAACTACTATTTTGCTATCATAATAAATTTCATCAATAATTTCCTGAACCAAAATTAATCGATAAATAATTTTCTTTACACAATTTAATATAGCGAATTTTCTTAAATTAATATATAAAATTTATATATATTTATGTAAATGTACTTTATTTAAACATAATATTAAAATTTAAATAACTTTGTGTTATTATGATATCACACTATTTAAATAAAAAAGAAAAAAATGTTTCTAGATAAATTGAACCAACTTAATTCTTTAAATTTGTTTAATTAATAAAATACGTCAAGTAAATTACTTATTTAAATAAATATAATCCCTTTAAAATATTAAAATATTTAAATATACACACACACACACATATATATATGTCTAACACCTATAGTATCAAATATCAACTATATATATGTACACACACACACTATACATATGTTGTGAATGGGAAATATATTTTGTAACATATACTAATATAATATAAAATTAACACAAACGAGAAGAAAATAATTTGGTGAATGGAGATTTTGAGAGGAAGGAAGACACGTGCGAGTTATAGGAGTAGGTAAGACACGTGCAAAGAAGTAGTTTAGGAGGCCACATTTTAAACAAAAAACTTCACTCTTCTTGGTAAAATTATTTTCAATAATTAATATCACCATTAATCCATAGTATGGGTTTTAATTGTCAAATAAGCGTGACGTAAGTGATGACAGAGTTAATTAGGTTAGTTTGGCATTTAGTTTCCATGACGAAATCTGTTGAGAGTGAATTTGTGGATTCGTTAGTAAATGAAGAGATCCCCACACGCTTTTTGCATTATTTGATTTTACCAAAATTTTTATTTAATTGGATTAGTTGTTACAATATCATAATATAACAAAATTATAATAATAATAATAATAATAATAATATCGTTTATGGGATGGATTAAGTTAATCTAATCCATTGACGGGGCCCCACAAACATAATGGAATTGAAAAGATTAAAACTTAAAGCCCCCCATAATTAACTAAGTGTCAATTAGTTCGGTATTAGAAAGATAATTTGCACCACTTATAGGTGTTGGTTAATATTAATATTGTATCTCTACCAAATTAAAAAATAAATAAATAAATAAATAAAGTCACTGAGACACCTTATTTCTTATTCTATCTAATCTAGAGGAAGATGGATTTATTAAATTTTGTCATTATTAAGTTATAATTTATTATTTATTATATATTAATTATGATTTATTACTATATATATATATCACGGGACTAATAATATGTCATTTTTCACTTGTCACACATTAAAAAAAATTACAGTTACTACCACCATAAGTGGAACTCAACCGAAATAATTATGGAGTTCGATAAGATGATTAGTGTGTTAATTTTTTTTTATTTATAATTTGATGAATTAAATGTGTATATAAGATTATCAACCTAATAATTATGATGATTTTAATTATTAAAATTTTAAAAATATATTAATAAATAAATTTTTAATATTATTAAATTAAATATTATAAATCGATAAACAATACACATAATATACTTTATAAGTAGTGTATTATCAAAATAAGTGAGTGTGGACTGATGTATATATTCCATTAGGTTAAACTTTGGGTACAATTATTTGCAGAATCATATATTATACATATATTCTGTATATATACTTCGCTTCTTTGGTTGAAAAAGGACGTGTTTTTATGGGTGTCCATTTCATAATAAACATCACCCAAATTAAATGGGAAACAACCACCAGATCCCATCAAAGCTCGAATAAAGAATAAGAGACCAAGAAAAAGAAGATATATATATATATATTCAATGAAAGTATACCCTAACTGTAACATATACATTTTTTTTTTCTAATATTAGAACAACTAAAATTTAAAATTGTAAATAATTGAATTAATATGGTGTATAATACATTTATTTAGATTTTTGGAAAAAAAAAAAAGTTAATTTAATACATCCAAAGAATACTTTTATCACTAAAAATTAAAAAAATATATATATATATATATACACACAAATTAGAGGAGTTTACGTATCAATTGTGGGTGTACGGTGAGAGTTCAAATTGTTGTATACGCAATATATAAATATATATTTAAAAATTTTGAAATTTTAATATCATGTGATTAATTTGAGTGATTAGAGTCTTTAAAACCATATTAGTCTAGATTATATATATAAATGATACTTACATGTCACTACTTGAATTAACAGAAATTAATAAGCAATTTTCTAATTTCTTTTTAATTAACAACTTACTACCACCCATAACATCAAATATTTAAAAACGTATATTACTTGCCATCCTATAAGTGGTTGAGTTGTCACGTTTATATATATAAAATGTTTATGATATGATATGATATATTATGTTTGACTTAGTCAATAAAAATCGATGGACATTACTGTGCTAAACTCTACTAGGTACTTGGAATATATAAGTCCAAACCTGAATTATTTTTAAATTTATATCAAACTTATTAATTAGAAAAAATTAGTGAAATTAATGACAAACATAATATAGAATTAAAAAAAATAATTAAAATGTAGCCCATAAGTGAGCCTGACTTGATCCATTAAACTTAACTTGGTCCCTCCATCTGTGACAGCAGAATGTATTTAATTAATCATTACATTGGAGAATAATGGGTAATTAATGAAATCATCATTTGAATAAATTATTATGTCTCTTAAAAAATTAATAACTAGTAACATATAATTAATTAACATCCCCTTCTTGTGCTTCATGTATAATTTTAGAATAATTTGTGTGTGTGTTTTTTTGGTGGGTCAAAATATATGTATATATTATATTATATTATATTAATTGATATTGCAACAATTAGGTATATCTAATTCAGGCGGTTTCAGTAGCCATCTTGGGCTTTCTGTGGATTCTTAAAAGTAAGAACAAAAGAACATGCATGGGTACGTGGAAATTTAAATTAGTTAATTATGTATTATTGGATAAATAAACAAGATTAATTTATAATCTGGATTAATTTTTGTATATTGAAATTAAATTATTCTCAAATTAAGTTCAAAAACAGATAATTTAATGTACTTAGAATAATGAGAGGAACGTGGTGGTCACGCGTCTCTCAATCTTCATTCACAAATGGGATTAAGTAACATTTTTCTGCATAACATTTCTGAAGTACAAAGCCTTAAAAATAAATAAATAACTTAAATTTATAACTTCAAAATAAATAAAGTAAGTACAAATGGACGTGGTTTATCAAAGTCCTTGGTTCGCACATATATTATATTTATGTATTATATGTAAAATATTAGGTGTGTCTATATATATATATATATATATATATGACGTAGCTTCTCTACAAAAATTCACACACGTAAAGACCAAGACTTTTTTTTCCAGTCCAAATGACATTCACCCGTACTGGGACTGCATGGAAACAAGCACTATCAAAATTGCTGTATCATGTGTGTATGTATATATATATTACACATGTGGGTTGTGTGTATCTGTGTGTGTGTGTTTATATATGGAGATGGAGGCGCGTAACTTGCAACGAGCTACAGGTGTTCAAGTCAAAAAAATATGATGACCCGAAGAAAACTTGCGAATTCTTTAATCATCAAAACTGATTCTTTATGGATGAATAAATATGTATATATATATATATATACAAGTATAGTCATGGCTTGTCCAATGTCACCACCTTTCATTTTAAGCAATACTATTTCACCATGTCACGATCTTCTTTGCTCTTCTCCTTCCTCCTTGTTCTGAGCTCCCTGATCTTCACAAACTCCCATGGCCAGACCTCTGCTTCATCATCAACCTCTATATGCCCTTCTCACGACTGCGGCAACGGGCTCGCAATCAGATACCCTTTCTGGGTCCTTGACAACCAAACCGATACTTCCGACCACTTCTGCGGCTACCCGGCCTTTGGCCTCAACTGCTCCGACTCCGGCGAGCCAATCCTCAAACTCCCCAACGACAACTTCTTCGTAAGAGACATAAACTACGCCGACAACACCCTCACACTCGTAGACACCGACGTGGTGAACCAACAATGCCCTAGGGCTCGCCACAACATAAGTATCGGGACTCTGCCATTGGAGTTCTCCGAGGTGGACGTAAACATCAGCTTTTACTTCAACTGCACGGCGTCTCCGCCGTCTGTGTCGCCTATTTCTTGCCTGGGGACTTTTGGTGGCAGTCGGTCGTCTTATGTAATCGAGGAAGGAGAGGAGATTGATGGGTTTAAGGGTTGCGAGGAGAAGGTGGTGGTGACGGTGAAGAGGACGGCGTCGGTGAAAGGACAGCTCAGCAATGGTGGGTTTGAGATCGCCATGAATGGAGGGTTCGAGCTTGATTGGAGAACGGCGAAGGAGTGCGGTGCTTGTGAGGCGACGAAGGGGTTTTGTGGGTTTAATCAGACGGTGAATAAGTTTCTGTGTTTCTGCGGAGATGGTAGCATTCAGAGTCAGATGTGTACAGGTGGTATTTATTATTTTTCTCTTCTTCATCATCTCCTTTAATTTCTTTTTTTTTTTTTGCTTTAATTATTATTAAATTATTGTTAGTTTCTGGCCAATGGAAACAAAATATTGCATTTACTAGTAGAAATTATAAAAGTAATTAAAAATTTAAATTTCTAATTTATTATAATTGTAAAATTATACATAAACCATTTGGAAGGCCCAATTTCTTTTTCTTCATTATGGGCCTCATGTTTTTTAATGGACTTGTTTGTGGGCTTTTAAAGCCCAAATTAGATTGAAAAAGTCTCCTTGTTAATTTCTTTAATGGGCCCTCAATCCTATATATATATATATGATTTCCAATTTTTTAAAGGATATTTTTTAAGTTCATAGTCAATTGCCCACTTGATAACTTTAGATGCCTTAGTTGACAAAAGAGAAAATTTAACAATTTATAAAGATAGTGTTCATATTCATCACCTAATTAAGTAACATTTTATTTTATTTTCTAAATAAACTATATGCGAATTGCATTGACCAAAGAATTCCATGTAGTTAATAATGGTGTAATTATATATACACACACATATTGCATGAAGTCCTAAATGTTATTGAATAACTTATTATTTTAGTTTTAAATTATGAATTATAAGTAATACAGTTGGATATCACTTTCTTTTTTTTTTTTTTTTCTCATTATAAATTAGTCATTGAAGTTATAGAATTATTTCAAAATCTTAGTAGTAAAATTGCTTTTGATTTTTTTTTTTAATTTTTAAGTTTACTACAAAGTTAGTAAAAAAATTATTATTTAATTTTATAACCAAAATTAGTAAAAAAAAATTATGTTTCAAAATAATTTTATAAATTTAGTAATTAAATAATAAAAATTTCAAATTATACTAATTATATAAATAATTCATTAGTGGAAGACTAGCAGTAGTTATTAGCCCGATATTTCATTATGTGTTGATCAACCTCTCCTGCATAATTTTAGATTTTTGTGTTTGAATTATTTAATATAAAAAACCCCTATGAATATATATATATATATATATATATATATATATATATATTAACATATATTAGTTATCACCCAAATCAACTCTCTTGAAGTTTCAAACTTCAAAGTAAAACATTTGGCTGAAAAACCCATTAAATTAAATAAGAAGCCATTCAACCAGCTACTAAAACTAATAAATCTTTTTTGAGATTAAAAAAAAAACTTAGCTTGTCATTCTGGATCCACATGCAATATGTGCTGTATCAAGGTCAAAGGGAACTTAAAAAATTATGATACTGCTTGGGTTGATGATTTCCTCATAATATATATATATATATGCATTGGTTTCTAGAAAATAAATCAATCTGTAGGTACCAAAGGATTCACCATTAACAACAGTGTAGGTATGATATCTAATCTTTTCTGTGTGTCTACAATATTTCTTAGTAATTAACTTGAGAGATATTTACGTAAGTAAGATGTTATTATTACTGCTTAAACATTTTATAAATCAATTTATACAGTAAAGATTTTATTAATCTCTTTGTAAACTTTCTTTCTATATAAGTTTATCCTGATATTCTTCATCTTCCGTTCATGACTCTCATCATCTTCACAATATTCCCTTTTCTGTTCTTCTTAATTTGACCTCTCCTCCTCCATACATACTTTTCCATGCATGGTTGTGCCATTTGATTAGCTCTGAAAACATAAATGGAATTCTCTATTCTCTATTTTATCAGTCATCCAAAAATTTATGGTATAGATAGATTCATATGGGAAATGTGAGTTTAACTTGATTATAAACATTCTCAGACTCTGTTTATTGAAACCAAATTTATGCTAGGACAAGTCTTCGAGGACTTACGCATCGCGTGAACTCTTTTGAATTTGGAAAATAATCAGTTTTGGCTATTAAAACCGATACATAGTTATGTTATCTTAATTTTCTTAGCTTTGGATTGGATTGGATTAGATTAGATTCCTATTTGTTGATTTGTATGTGAGATTAATTTATAGTGAGAACTATACATGAATTACTGTATTAATTCCATGCCGCTTGACAAGTCTCAGAAGGATATCATGATTAATCAATGACTTGGAGTTGAATAAGGCAGCCGCCTTAGCAGCCAAACTATTACCTATCTGCATAAAAATTCCAAAACCCATTTCTCTTCTATGTCTCCCCATATAGAAAAACACAGCAGGATGATTTTCAACCTAAATTTATGGTAGAAGTTTTTAATAGTGTATTTGATAAAATTTAGAGAGAGAGTTTACAGCTTACGCAGAAAAAAAGAAAAGTCCAAAGTGCAGGAAAAGTAAATTGCATCAACTTTACTGAAGATTTACAAAACAAAGAATATTGGAAGAGCTGGGTTAATTTGCAGCTGTAGAGAGATGTTGAAATAGTCAGCCATTGGTGTTTTATCTTGAAATTCAAACAGAGAAAATTACACCAATCTTTTTTTTTTTTTTCCCTGTAAATATTTGAGATTTAGCAGCAAGAAAGCGTGTTGTATTTGCTTCCCACCAAAGTTATTTCGGTTTCTGCTTGTATTAAAAGCAGAAAATTCATGTTGAAATTTTAAAAAGAAAATTGCGAGCAGACCCTCTGTAACTTTTATGTATAAATGCAACTTGGTGTAATTTCGGGTTCGTGTCTATTCGCCTACCTTTGCTCGTGAAACTCACCAAAAGCGTTGAAGTCAAAAATGAATGTCTGCAGCCACCGAAATCTCAGCTGATTTTGTCATTGTCAAAATAAGAAGCATTATACGTCTTATCTTCTTCCTTTTCATGAAGCTGATACTCAACCTACACCTTCATATTTCCCAAATCTCACCCTTCTCGGGGCTTAATTTGCTCTTTAATGGAAAGCCATCTCTCTCAATCATCCATTCTCCAATCTCTCATCTCCATCTTCCTCATCTCCATCACTCTCTCCCCATGCCAGTGTCAAGAAAACGAGCAGTTCTTAGACTGCAGTCAACCTTTCGAATGCGGAACAAGACAGGGCAATGTCGGGTATCCTTTCTGGGGAAACAACAGGCCAATGTTCTGCGGGCTGGAGGGGTTCGAGGTCCAGTGCCTGTTAAACCAGCAGATTGTCATGGATGTTGAAGATCAAAGCTTTCGAGTTCTTAACGTTGATCGTTCTCTTCAAGTAGTAAGCATTTCAAGGATGGATCTCGCCGATGATGTTTGTAACCCAGAAATATTGCTCAACACTACTTCAGCTTTGAATCACACTCGCTTTCGTTTCCCTTCTGATATTCGTAACCTCAGTTTGTTCTACGGCTGCGATGAAGGCGGTTCAAATTCTTTGCCCTGTGAGTCCGAACCTGCTAGAAGTAAACATGTTTATTACAGTAACGAGCAATTCCCAGATGATTCACCTCCAAACATGGGATCCTGCAACCTGCAAATCATTGTCCCAATCCCTTCCTCGCACCTTAGAGATCTTTTTGAGGGTACGATTGGATTGCGAGAGGCAATGAGCCGAGGGTTTAATGTAGAATATGTTTCTCCGAACGAGAACTGCTCTGCTTGTGAGCGATCCGGTGGATTCTGCGGCAGCGACGACGATCAAAAATTTGTCTGCTTCTGTTCCGGTGGACCGCAACCAGATAAGTGCCCAGGCGGTACGTACACTCATCATCATCTCTCTAATTAATCCTTGGATTGATCCATTAGAAAAACTGTCTCTGTTTCTTCTTTGCTAAAAATTTCTTTATTAAGCTATATTATACATAGTTCATCGTAGCAGAACCAGAAAGCTTAGTACATATGGGGTTTTGCTTCGAGTATCCAGAATCTGATGCGCGCAATTCTCAGGATTTTGTTAGAAATCGAAGTTTAGGCAATTGCCAATCAGGCAAAACACATTAACATCACAGAGTAAATAATAACGCAGATTTTAGGGGTTAGGAATTTTACTTCGTGCTCATAAAACCCTATTACAAACCACTGCATGAATTGGAGTTTGCAGATTTTTGGGATCAGAAAATTGATGATTTAGTAGTTACCAATTTCTCTTCGTCTTCCATGGATGTTTAACCCTATTCATCAAGATGATAATTTCATTGACCACCGAGGGGTAAAAAGAGTCGTTCTCGTTGACCGGTCAACGTATAGTCTAGGGGCTTGTTTGGTATGTTAAGGTAGTCTTTTTGTCTATATTTGAACGAGTCTCAGACATTTTTTTTTTTTTTTTCTAAAATGGAAAAGAAGTTAGTGGACTTTTATAGAGAGGAAAATTTTGGATATGAATGATTTATGATTTGTTTATATTAAAATTGTGTTGATCAAATTTGAATATTAAAAAAATTATATAGTTATTATTATGACTTGATTTCTCCTTTGAGTGGAGCAACTAGAAGGGTGTCAGGAGGGGGACATGACTTTCCTTTAACTCCACAATTAATATATGCTATATATATATATACGATATAAACCTCTAAATAAAAGAAAAACAAAGCAAAAAAATTAATAGGGTCTTAGAAGATTATGGAGTAAATAAGTAAAAAAAAGTAATTAATGGCATATTGTGCAAGTCATTTCATGTTTATGTTAAAAGTTGATGGCTAATGTATATTTATACGCATATTGTGTAAATCATTCCATGTTTTTGTTAAAAGTTGATGGCTAGTGTATATTTATAGAATTAAAATTGTGTAGTAGATAAAGTAGGTTGAGATGAATAAATATATTCTGGCTTTCAGTTATGATGGTGATGTACCAAATGTGAAAGCAATACAATTTGTCTATGATTACCTGCCGTTTCATTTCCACTTACTTACCACTCTTTCTCATCATCATACTCCTTTTTGTCCTTTTGGTAGACTCCTCCTTCTTCTTCTTTACATAGTAGCAAGAAAGCAATCTATTTCAGTTTGATCCAACTGGGTACTTCCCATCTCAGAAATCTACCTCAAACTCATCTCTTCCCGGCTCTGTTGCAGAGATGAATCTTGCAGGCAATCTGTATCTTCCAATCCCCATAAACTCCATTTTCACCATCTTCATCCTACTATTAACTTTCCTTCTACCATCCTACTGTGATGAAGATAATCACTTTCATGACTGTGGTATTTTCTACAACTGTGGACTCTTGGCAAATGTTTCGTATCCTTTCTGGGGCGGTAGACGACCCAATTTCTGTGGGAGGAAAGAGTTTGAGCTCACCTGCCATGGCAGTTTTGCCACCAAGATGACCATTTGGGAGCAAGAGTTTCATGTGATGAGAATAGACCATTCTAATCAGATCTTGACTCTGGCACCAGCTGAGTTTCTTCAGGACTCTTGTCCTGAAACTATATCCTATGCTTTTGATTTTGGGAACAGTCTCCTAAAACTTGCTCAGACTGTGGTGAATCTCACTCTGTTTTATAATTGTTCCCCCGGTATCTCCGTACCAAAAAATAACATTCGTCCCTGCAAGAACAATGAACCTGGAGATATAGGAATTTTCTATATGAATGATTCGTTTGTGAGAAACAATGGGGTGAACCTCCATGCGTGTAGGAAGGTCCAAGTTCAGGTGAAAGAGACGTCTCTTGTTGAACTTGAGAGTGGAAAGTTGAGTTTGTTTTCTGCTTTAAAAGAAGGATTTGATGTAAAATATGATGCTTCCAATGATTCCTGCTTCAACTGCGAGGCTTCGAGAGGAAAATGTGGATCAGACATCACTAATGCAGATGCATTCACCTGCTTTTGCCGTGATCAGCCTCGTCCTCTAGTTTGTACAAATCATGGTATGCACATCCTTAATTTCCTCTTTAAGTTTTCTCATTAAATTCTTCTTGAAATTCTTGTTAATAGTTGCCTCAAATCTTCCACGCGTTCCTTTGAACTCGTGAATGTTCTTCTCCATAGCTAAAAGCTATGTGGTCTTCTTGGCAGCGTTTAAGCTGGTGTTAGTAGTTTCTTTAACTTGGCTCTGAAGCTTCCCCAGATTTTATTTCACGTCTTTGAAAATTGTTGGGAGGTGGAATCAAGATGCCTAACAACAGAGACAATTTGGTCTTTATCACTAATTTCCTAAATCAACGAAGCTTGAAGGTTTTAGGATTGAAAGAACGCGTATTTGACTGTTGACTGACAAGTTTCATCTTCCCTGTGCCTGAGATAATTTGGGTTACAGGCACTAAAAGATGCTGTTTTCTAGTGGTTTAGCTTTTATGACCCTATATATGTATATATATAGATATATAGATATATATAAGAGACGTGCTTACGTTTTCTTGGCACCTCAAATGGTCCCTATTTAAAAGGAAACTTTGCGGTGCTTATGTAATCAAACTTTCGTGCTGCTTTGTCTTATTTTCTCATCACCGCCACTGCTTTCTGCTTCATTAATATCGATCCTAATCTTGTGCGCCATGCCCACATCAAAGTCAAGGTCAATTTCGATTTCGCTCTCTCTCTGAAGAAATTTCTAAGCGGCTTACCTTTCTTCATCAAAAGTAGTCTTGATAATTTTCCATGAAAAGTATATAGCCTGGAGTACCATAATAACATCACTAAACAAACCTGTAGCTTAACAACTGATGCAATTTTTTCTCGATGAACTGTCACGAATGTGTGCTTATCTGTTCTTCCTATTTCCTCTGCAGTCAATGTCCTTCATCTCAACCTTTCTAGTTTTACTCTTAATCCCGGCGTTTTCCTCCTCCGACAACGAGCAGTTCAGAGTATGCAGTAGCTCATTCAAATGTGGAATCTTTGCTAATCTTTCTTATCCTTTTTGGGGAGGTGATCGACCACAGTACTGTGGTTTCGAAGGTTACAATCTCACTTGTGTAGAAAATAAGCATCCTGTTTTACAAATTTATCAGCAAAGATTCCATTTAATCCACCTAAACCAACGTCCTTCTCGAATAACTATTGCCCCAGTAGATATGGAAGAAGAAACTTGTCCCGAGACACCCATCTTGGATACCAGGCTCTTCATCTATACCAGCGCCAACACCAACATCAGTCTGTTTTACAGCTGCAATACCCGCAATGTTAGGTACCCTCTTAGTACTACATTTCGATGCATAAGCGACGGGAAAGAAGTCAATGGTCTCTATGCTGAAGATGAGTCTTCGGAGGGTAACATGGAAATTTTGAAGCAATGCAAAGAAGTGAAAGTTCCGGTTTTAACCAACGTGATGGATCAACTTAATGGGAATCGAAGTATAGCTGTGAATGAGATTATACACCAAGGTTTTGAAGTTCAATATCTTGCCTATGATAAGTTCTGCAATGAGTGTAAGACTTCTGGTGGCAAATGTGGATCAAGCCTCACTTCACCGCAAGAATTTGTCTGTTTTTGTCCTGACAGACCTTACCAAATAGCCTGCTGGAAACACCACAGACATGGTATGCTTGACCTGGAGTCTTAATTCTATGCTCTTCTAGTTATTCCATTTGCAGCAACTGGTGCATGCTAATCAATTTAGGATTCCGGTCAGTGAGTTCCTTAGTAAGATTTTGACATAAAAGATTCACTCGTTAACTCAACTCTTGCCCCAATTTTTACATATCAAACCAGTGCTATAAGCAGCTTGGTGTTCATGGTTGGCTCCATAAAAGCTCTCCTGCAAGAATGGTGCATAATTCTATAGTGCTGCATACAGAGTTAGATTGCAGTTCCAGATCAATTTCATAGGAGCTACAATGATCATTAGACGTTTTGTTTGTCATTCCTCTTGTGCTTGAAGTCATCATACAGGTCCCAGAAACAACATGGAAAGCCGTCTTCATTGAACTCAATAAGTCCATTGACTTTGACTTGAGTTATTGGAATTTCTAGTACTTTGAGAGGATATTATTATTATTTTTTTTTCAATTGATAAGTACCGTGTCGGTTTATAAATCTTCTTGGACCATCGGTTTATAGATTAAAATTGGAATTCAAAGATGACCAACCAAAACTCCACTCAGAATTTAAAAATATAGAAGATTTCAAAAGAGGCACTAAAGTGTTATTTTTTCATTTTCACACTTTAGTTCAACCAAACAAATCTAAGTCATGATATTCGGTGCATTAGTCTTCTCCCACTCACATTCAACCTTTTGCATCCAAGATTTTCTCCTTCCTAATCTTGTTTGTTATATTATATGTACATAAATATATACGTGTAGGCATATGTATTTTATGTACGTATATTATTTGTTCCCTTTTCCCCTTTTTACAGGTTTGGTAGATGTAATAATCATGATATTTATTGCATGCCTGAACTTGTTTGTCTCTTGGACAGCTTTGCTACTAAACTCTGATTGCTGTGTTATCTTCGTTTTGAAAACTCAAGTCACACTCAAGAATCATAGGTAGAAAACCCGTAAACCCAGAGTACTCGGAGCCAACTCGCACCAAGCGCTTGAATTTTCAACCCAATGAGGCATTCCAAATCCAATATTTTTTCTACCATCTCTTCATTTTTATTTTATCCAAAATGGATCAGAAAACCTTGTTTTCATTCAAAACATCCTTTCGCGTATCCACCATTATCATCTTCTTCACCATCTTTGTCAACCCAGGGGTCTCCATGCAAAATATGCTGCCTGTGAGCCTATGTCCTGTGGAGATGGCAATAAAATAAGTTATCCTTTTTGGATAGCTGGTGAACGAGAACCTTTTTGCAGGTGTCCCAATTTTGAATTAACCTGTAATGGCAAACACCCTGTGCGCACCATCTCTGATACTGATTGCATCATTGAACACATCTTTTACAAGAAACAATCATACCTTGTGACAAACTCTGCAGCCTATGGGGACTCATGTCCGACTCCTCTGCATAGTATCAGCCTTGATCATAGTCCTTTTGCTTTCAACTCCCTTAATGTTGAGTTTTCCTTCTTATAAAACTGTACGACAGAACTCCAGAATTCTTCACTTACCCATCGGGTTGTGCTAGCAATGCTACATATTACACTTTTTGCTAGTTTTCAGAAGGAAGCTTCGGGGGGCTGGTTAATACCGCTGTATGCATGAGTAAGAATGTGGATGATTTAGCTGAAATGAGGGTGCTGATATTTTGAAAATGGGTTTCTTCTTGAATTATACTACACATAGTTGCAGCAGTCGGGAGAGGGAAGTGGGGGGGGCTGCGGGTTTCATGACAATGAGTTTGTGTTCTTTTGCCCTGATGGAACTATTCTCTCAAATTCTGTACCAGTAATGGTAACCCTATGGCTACAGGAAATTCTTTCTCTTCCAACTGGATTATTCAATCTCTTTTCAGTATTTTGAACAGTGTTAGTCTTGTGTTAGTTCATTATATGACCATAAAAAACATATTCTTCTGCAAATATAACTGAGATTTGTTTGTGACTAAATGTAAAACACATGTATGTTGGAGAACTTTCTCTATAATCATATGGTTTTTATTTCTATAACCATATGGTTTTTATTGAAATCTAACATGGCTAATGAGCTAAATCTCTTGGTGGAAATTTCTTCGAGTTCTGCTTTATGAAATCAAATATTCTGTATCTTTTCTACCTTTCACATATCTAACTTTTTGTAACTCTCCTTGCATGTGCTACAGAGAATAGAGTTAATATGAAGACAAAAGTTATTATAGGTAATAAAATCCCTGACCTCATCTCTTCTCCCTTTTGCTTATTTGTGCTTCAATTCATTTCTCCGTTGTCAACAAAACAAGAACCGCGCCTAACTCTTGTCTGCTATATGGCAGGTGTTATTGCAACTTTCGTAGGTGTGGTACTAGCATGCACTGGCTGCTACTTATATCAACGCCGGAAGAAGAAACTAAGGATTGTTCGTTCGACCTTGTTATCTCGGAGCATCTCAGCAGATGATTCTTCAGTGGATGTTGAGAAGGGAAGGAACTTGTTTGGAATTCACCTCTTCACATATGCTGAGCTTGAAGAAGCCACTAGCTACTTTGACTCTGCCAAGGAACTTGGTGATGGTGGCTTTGGAACTGTATACTATGGTACAATCCAAAAAGCAAATATGATTTTTTTTCTGTAGTTTAACTTTTTCAAATTCAATGTTTCTAAACAGTTCACTACTTAGATTTTGCAACAATATTGATCATCGCTTCATTGTCTGCAGGGAAACTTCAAGATGGGCGTGCCGTTGCTGTCAAGCGCTTGTATGAGAATAACTACAAAAGAGTTGAGCAGTTTATGAATGAAGTTGAGATCTTAACCCGTTTACGCCACCACCATCTAGTGTCTCTTTTTGGCTGCACCTCAAGACACAGCCGTGAACTCCTGCTAGTATATGAGTTTGTCCCTAATGGCACAGTTGCTGATCATCTTCATGGTGAGCGTGCTAAGCCTGGTGCACTTCCATGGCCTATCCGATTGAAGATTGCAATTGAGACTGCAGGTGCATTGACATATCTTCACGCCACCGACATCATCCACCGTGATGTTAAAACCAACAACATCCTCCTAGACAATAATTTTTCCGTCAAAGTTGCAGATTTCGGACTTTCGCGTCTATTTCCAACAGATGTAACTCATGTTTCCACAGCTCCACAAGGGACACCTGGGTATGTTGATCCAGAATACCACCAATGCTACCAGCTCACTGAGAAGAGTGATGTGTTTAGCTATGGCGTGGTCTTGATTGAACTAATATCCTCCTTGCCAGCTGTTGACATCACCAGGCATCGGCAAGAGATCAACCTGTCTACCTTGGCAATCAATAAGATCCAAAATCATGCACTGCACGAGCTTGTAGACACATCACTCGGGTTTGAATCAGACTCGACGATCAGAGAAATGATAACTGCTGTAGCAGAGGTGGCGTTTCAGTGCCTACAGAGTGAAAAGGACATGAGACCTTCAATGCTGGAAGTGTTGGAATCTCTAATCCGCATACAGAGTCAGGGATATAATTCAGGAAAAGCAGAGGAAATGGATATTCCAGCAGCTGATGTTGTGTTGTTGAAGAGTGGTCCTCTGCAACTTTCTCCTGAATCTGAAACTGTAAATTTGGTTAGCAGGTCTACAACATCTAATACAAGTAGTTAAGCTTCATGTCACCCAGCTTTTTGCTTTTCTGAGAGAAGCAAGAAATTGGTAATTAAAGAGATCCCATAATCAGAGAAATGGCTGATTGCTGTCATTTTTTTTTTTTTGGTTCTTTTTTTCGTTTTTAATCCACTAGATTTTGATACTGATACTCGTTGGGGTGTACATGTAATAGTTGTAATGAGGTAGGGAGGTTTTTTCTTTTTGGTAATTCATATATATATATATATATATATATTTTATTTGCTAACTAATCTAAATAAATTGTTGATGTAAATACAAAAGTTACAAACTTCAGTTTGAACATTAGAAGCACGATATATTAAATAGGTTTTGGGTGACTCACATCTCCGCCGATGAAATGAGGAAAAAAAACATAATGAAACTCATTTGTTAATGCCCAAGAATTTTGATTTAAATTTCTCCGACTGAAAGAAGAGAAATGTAGAGCTCAGGTTTGGAATCATCAGAGTTTCTATAATCTTGTTAGGTAAATATGCTTTTAACTCAACAATAAACTCAAGGCCATTGACAGATAAATCGATTTGTCCATCATCAATGGAGATCACAATGAGGCTGCAAAATTAAAAATAAGAATCTTAATATTATAATAATTTGAACATTTCGTATTTTAATTGAGCAATTAAATTCTAAAATGTACATTGAAATAAACTTATCAATTATATTAAGAGCTAATTATCAATTATCATGCATGACATTTTTTTTTTTTTTTTGAATGACCAACCTCACGGATCAAAAGTGGTACTATCGTTCTCTACCTTAATCAAGTATCAAATCTCTGAGACTATTTTATCTGATTCGAATCTCCCCTGTCAACTCTCCAACCATAAATCTCTGATAACTAGGAAGAAAAAGAAGAAGCAGAATTTCAGTGTTAGGGTTAGGGTTAGGGTTAGAGTCGGGTTCGATTCTAAACATCATCGGCTACTGAAGACGTGAAGCAAGAATCGAGAGGGAGAAGGAAAGATGATAGAGATGATATTGAACCGTAGACTGGGGAAGAATGTCCGAGTGAAATGCAACGAGGACGACATCGTCGGTGACCTCAAGAAGTTGGTTGCTGCACAGACAGGAACCCGACCCGAAAAGATCCGGCTTCAGAAATGGTACACCATTTACGAAAACCATATCACCCTCAAGGATTATGAGATCAACAATGAAATGGGCCTCGAGCTCTGTTGCAACTAAATCCTCTTGTTACGCGTTAGTTTGTTCACTGATCGGTCGTTGTTCATTTGTCCTTTTTGTTTCTTTCCCCCTCTTTTTTTTTTTTTTTTTTTTATCAATTACTAACGATTATTTTTGCAATCTGTCTTTGGCTTGATCACTGTGGTTGTTTGCTAGTATCTGATTTTCGGATGTAAAGAAAATGAAATCCTCTTTCAAGGTACCCATTTTCATTAGAACTCATGGAGCTTTTTTCTTAAAGGTACCCATTTTCGGAAGTAAAGAAAATGAAATCCTCTTTCAAGGATAAACTTGATCAAGGAGACCA